ACAAGTATTTCTTCCTAAATACCGGGTGGTGACTTACCTGGTTGACGCGTGCCCTTTCGCTAGCGTTTCTTTGCCCGTGAGGTGTCCAAAAATACTGATTTCTTTAAATTAGGTCCCTATTCACGTAAGAACAGTATTAGAACTGGAACCGGGACAAAAATCGGGCAAACAGAAAGCAACTGGGCCAAATTAGCCGTTCTACGCGCGCTCACGTGCCAGCAGCACGCTAGGAGTGCGTGGCCACGCGCGCGGGAAGGCGCCAATCGCAGGCTGCACGCGCGCCTGCCACGCGCGCCCGCCTCCGCGTAGTCGCGGGTCGGCCGGTCCGGTCGGCTCGACTCGCGTCGCGGTTCAGCCCGGCTTGCGGGCGACACGTGTCGACGCATCGCTGGAGCTGCATTGCTCCAACCGATGGTCGACGCGTGTCCGGCGCCTGTCGCCGCCGTCCGCCGCTCGCCGGCCGACTCCTTTCTTCTTCTTCTTCTTTTTTTTTTTTTTCTTCTTCTCCTTTCTTCTCTACCCTCTGAAAACCGAAACACAACCTTCTTTTCCGATTTTCATATCTTTCGATCCGTAGATCGGATCGACATGATTCCTTCGACAAAATTTTAGATCGTGTTACTGGCTACGTCCTCGTATTTTTTTTTTCGTAAATTTTTTATTAACTACCGGACGAGTTAAGAAGATCGGAATTTCGCTCACCGTTCTCGGACGACTCTCGGATCTCCGCCTTCGGGTTGAGGTCTCGGCCAAACTTCTTCACAGATCATGCGTAGAGTTGTTCTTAGATGAAAATATCAAGATTTCAGATCTTGATTCACAAAGGGAAAACCGTAAATCTGAGAAAACATTCAAGATCCTTACCTTGCGGGTTTTCCGACTTCTAGATGAAAAATGGGACTCCGGCCACCCACATTCTCTTTTCCCTTCCAAGAAAGTCTCTCTGCATGATCTTCACCTCCTTGCATCATGATCCTCACCGGAATAGACTCCGACGGTATTTTTCGGTGAGTCTTGTGGCGGTTCATCATTTCTCCTCTCCCTAGGTTCTCTCTACCCCTTTCTCTCACTATCTCTCTTTTGCAGGATTATGGATGGGGTTTCGTTTGGACCCCTTAGGTGGTTGGAGGGGCAAATTTACCTATTTGCCCCTCTCGGCTTTTCCTTCTTTTTTTTTTTTTTCTTTTCTATTTCTATTTCCCTTTCTTCGGGTATTACAAATTTCCACATTTCCAATGTTTTACTTTATTTTGATTTTTTTTTCATTTCGTCTTTTTGTCACGGTCCAATTTCTCGAAATCTTGAAAGTTGGGCTGTGACAAAAACCATATGACTATAATATGTCATGATATGATGTGTCTGATGATATATGTTATGATACGTGCATGGTAGACATGATATGTTTATGATAGGATATATGTTATGATATGATGTGTCTGATGATATAATCGAGGTATGATACGTGAAGATAAGATATATGTTATGAAATGATATGATTATGATACGCTATGCAAATTTTATGACGTATGTTATGATATGCTATATGAATGATGTGATATAAGTGTTATGATACGATGTATTTGACGATATATTTAAGATATGAAATGTGAATGATATGATATGATACGTTTGATGATACAACGCATACGAAAATATGTTTTATGACACGATATGCTTATGATATGACACATATGAAATGTTTAGATATATGGTATGAATGGCATGTAATAAGACATTTTTTGGCATGAGGTACAACCTCAATACACCCATGGAAGATATGATAAAAATGTTATGATAAGAAGGAAGACGCTAGCGAGGTTGTAGTACATCAAACCTTGGCTAAGGTCAACCAAGTAAGTGGCCTTACTATCGGCTCGGTCGAAAAACTTGTCTTTTGTATGACAAAACATGCCTAGTGTTGCATGATTCATTTATGCTTTATGTATTATGATGATGATGATATGAAGTAATACAATATGATGTTATATGATGATATGATGTTGTTATATGGTAATGTTATATGATGTTATGGTAATGCTATATGATGACGATGGTATGATGATGATGAAGATATGATGACATGACGATATAACGATATGAAGATACGATGGTGATATAACATGATGACATGATGACATGATGACAATAATGTATGATAAAATGATGATATAAGATGCATGATGATGATATGACTTAATATGATGATATTCCATTTTAAGATGACGTGCATGTATTACATGCCATGATGTATTATGATGAAAGTTTTCTAAGACACGACCGTAATGATGTTAGTGGTGATGAATATATGAAGACCAATGCATGCATATTACCTAGACTAATATGTGAATGATGTATAGGGTTTGTCACAAGAACAATTTAAGATAAAAACTATAGAGACCTCATGCATATTATATGTTCATTTACATCGGATTACTTCCCTATTTATGATGATGAGTACGAACATGTATACTATGATGATGATCATCATCATCATGTCTTGCATGATATTTGAGGGTTTTCTGACCTCCGAACGTCTGGCTACAGATAACTAACCCTACTATGATGGGTCTAGGGGGCACGAACCGCCTGGTGGACTCATGCTCGCACGTGTGGGTCGTATGTAAGGAAGTAATACACATCTAATTTTTTACGGACTAGAGACACCTCTATAATGGTTTTAACGATAGGCCCCTAATCATTTAGTGGGGTCACTTACTGATTATTTCATAAAATACTCAATTCATGTGCTACTTCTATTCTTCAAGTAAAGGCAAGGCACCCATGTACGGCTGACGACGGCATTGCAAATAAAGACCATGGCACATACATAGAATATTTATATTTAAATTTTTAGATAATAGGTTGGTATAGGGCGTTTTTTCAATTTTAATATTACTTCATTTTATTTAATATTTCATTATATTGTATTAAAAACATTTTGAAATATGTAAATTCATGGTAATATTTTACGATGATGTTTAAATACTTATTTCCGCATAAGAGATGATGTTATGAAGATGGTAACAGCTTTAGGCGGGTAGAAATCTAGAGTCGTTACACTTTAGAACATAAATTCCAACTTGTAGATTCTCAACAAATAAATCAATTTCTAATGATATTAGAGATGAAAATGAAGAAGGGTTTCTGTTTGGCATCTCTGACAAGGGACTCTTATGGCAAGAATGGTTGTGCATACTAAAGAATTTTGAACTTAAATAAGAGATATTGACAAACGCTCATAACTTATCATTTGATACATCCTAGTAGCACCAAAAATGTATTAAGTATTTATGGTAGTGAGGTATAAAGAGAGATGTGTTAGAATTTGCTAACTTGTCAAAGCACAAAGAAAAAAGAAAGCATACTTGTTACAACCTTTAAATGTACTAGAATGGAAGTGATAGAACGTAGCTATGAACTTTATCGTGCAACAACTAAAAGACTACATAATGATATAGGCATAATTGACCTACTTACCAAATCCGCACACTTCATACTATCATTGTCTATCATGAGCGGGTATTCGATTTGAGTTCAAGACAACTTTTCATTCCTAACTAGACAATTATACCGAATACCTAAATTAAACTCTAGACGACATATTACGGAGTTTGCGTATAATAAAGTTACAGAGGACCATCTATATGATACTCTTTGAAGCCTTTTATAGGAAGAGATGTAGGACTCCAATGTATTGAGATGAAGTTTGGAACCAAAGTTGATTCATACCATGAATGAGATTCTACAAGCGATCATGAACCATACACGATGTAGGAATCTAGAGTTTGAGGTAAGCAATAATGTGTTCTTGAAAATAGCTTCTAGGAAAGGCGTCGTAAGGTTTGGAGATAAATAGAAACTAAGATCGTGCTTCACCGGTTCATTGAGATATTGGAATAGATTGAACGATTGGCATTACCCCAAGTCCCAACACTTCACGGGTTCCTAATGTATTCAATGTATCCATGCTATATAAGAAAATTCAACTCATGTGATTGATTATGAGCAAGCTTCATTTGGACGAGTCAAAGGTCAAATTTGATCTCTAAACAATTGCAAGAACTAACTCGTCAAGGAGTCGCTAACGAGTTTTTAGTGTTTAGAGAAACAAAAACTTACAATATTTTAGGATTTTATTAAATATGAAATTAAAAGTTTAGAGATCTATTAGACATCAAGAATTAGATTGACACGTCTATATTGTCTGTATTATTTGCAAAGCATTCCATAAATATTAATTTGAAATTAATATTGCATTATTTAAAACATAAGAACAAACAACTCATAGATTAAACGTATATGTTTCATTTTTGAAGTACCGTGTGGTGCGTGGAAGATTAAGATAAGACGTATTTTCGGATTTTATTACCATAAGAAGAAAATAAGGGAATGAGAATTATATAAATTTGTTGGGTGCATAGAATGGAAACATTAATCATTTGGTTGCATCAATCCCATCAAGGAAAGTTATAATTAAAATTTGGTAATACACTAAATTACCTTCAAAGCTCTCCAAAATTAAATGTAATCTAATATTAATTACTCTGTCATCAACTATCAACAATCCATTTGGATTCCCTCAATTTCTTTCCCTAAATTGCTATTCACTATTATTGCTCCTCTCCCTAAATTATTCACAAATTTTGATTCTTGTACTGATTTTTGAGATTTATTACAATAATTCAATCATAAAAACTCTTCAAAACTAGGTTCCATCGTTATTTATGTAACGATTTAGTGTTTGTAATTTACCAATAAACCTAATTTTGGCACCAACGTCTTCATTTAAGTACACGTTCGATAAAACGCGAAACTTGATCAATCCAATTCAACTCGTATGATTTGGGTTAGGTTATGAAATTATTTGGGTTGAGTTCGACTAATTTAACATAGAAAAGATGAAGAAAATTGATAATTATGATGAGAATAGAATGGAATAGAATGCATGTGGATGTGGAAGGAGTTGGTGTGCAAGACCCAGAAAAGAAAATTACAGAAAGCTAAGGGAAAAAGGCATTTGACCACATTGCATTATTATGGCTATAAGTTTGATCCCCGAAGGGCAAGAGCATGTCATCCGCCACGAACCCCATTTGGTCCTGAGGGCTGACAAGCTCCATAAGCCACGCGGCGGTCTGCGGCGGGGGAGGCGGCTGAGGGTGAGGGTGAGGGTGTGGCTGAGAGTGGGGGGGAGGCTTCTTGAGGGAGTCAATGCGTTTAGTAATGTCTTTGAGATTTTGATCAATGAGCCAAGTGAGGTCGTTCAAGTCAAGCATGTTGAGTGCATGCAGGCCTTTGGCAGCGGTGAGGCTTTGAAACATCAGCCGCGTCATCTCTTTCTCCCGGTTGTCCTTTCTCATCTTCTTCAGTTGGTCATTGGCCTTGGCGATCCTCTGCCGCAGAAACGTCTCTTGGTTCACCTGTGTCAAGGGAAAGGGCAGCTTGTGTTAGTACACTCAATTTTGAAAAGAAACAAAAGGGTGTCTGAAAATGCACCATTTTCTTGCTCTGCTCCATCTCGGGCATCTTCTTGAATTGAGAGAGAACGCGCTGGACGCCGATGGGGGAAGGCCACAGCTCGGGCTGAGCATCGTAGGGGCTAAACACGATGGCGCATGCCTCAATCCCGCAAAGGGTGCTCAATTCACTCACCTTCTTCATAAGCCCTCTCTTCCTCTTCTTGAACGTCGCCTTTCTTGCGGAGTCGTTCACAATGTAAGCCAGCTTCACTTTCTTCCTCGTCATGATTTTCCTTTTTTCTTTTTTATTCTTGTGATTTATATGCATATATATACATGTGTGTGTGTGTATGATCTTGTTCCTGGTTGGAGCAATTAAATTTGGTCTTTGGTGGCGCTTTTAATTTTCAAATATTGAGATGATCGTGAGGATTATTAATTGATATTGTATTATTTATTCATAGGATCCAATAACTTCCTACCCTTTATAGTAACCTCATAATCATTATTTATTGCTATCACCTTCGTACGTTTGGGTTGGCTTGCTCTTCCATGCCTTATGTTTCTTGCCTTCTTTGCATCTAATATCATCCATAACATTTAACTACTTCTCCTTCCCTATTTAACTATATCTATCCAAATCATTCAAAGTTTTTAAATTAAAATAAAAATGAGTATTGAATAAGAAAACGTTACAAACACATTATTCTTTTCTTCCCTAATAAACTCCGAAGCCCTAACGAGTTTCTCTTTCTTTTTTTCTCCCTCGAACTTGTTGTTCTAGTGTGACATTACTAGTTATGGTTACAACATCATGGTTTGTTCGTTACCAACATACCTGCGTGAGCCTAGAACGTAGCGAATGTTCAAGGTTTGCGAAAGATCATTTGAGTAGAAAGTCCTCTGTAGGTCAAATCTTACTAACAAGTATATGGGTCACTAAAAAGACAAATCTTACTATAAGTATATGTGTCACTAAAAGAGACGAATGCTCGACCTCTATACAAGTAAACTACAAGACATGCTAAAAAAAAATTTATATACCAAATGTATATTACAAACTTGGAGGCCTTTTGAAATAAAATATAACATTTTAAACGATAAATTCCAAATATATATATGTGGATCAATCAATATATTGCCAACAAAATATTAATGTAATGATTGCTAACCTAAAGTTGCTATCATTATCATAACATGCTCTCTTATATCGAAATAATCGTTTAAAAATATATTCATTAAACAATGTCATGGACTCTCTTAAATGATGCAACGAAATATTAAATAAAATAAAGTAAATATTGAAAATGAACATGCCCTATACTAACCTATAGTCTAAAAATTTAAATACCACTGTTATATGCATGTGTCATGGTTTTTACTTGCAATGTCGTCGTCAATCGTACAGGGTTTCCTTGTGTCACAACCTAACTATGAAGAGAGTAGGTTGTGACCCTCACGTTGCTACAAGAGAAGCAGCGCCCACTGGCCACACAAGGGCTTAGACAAGTGCCATGATGCGACCGAGGAGGATGGTGCATCATCCAACACACCACACAAAGTGGGAATTGAAGACAATTCGAGACATAAGTAAGATAGAGACATCGAATAGACAAGAGGGGCAAAGATAGGCTTGTTGAAGTGTCGGGTAGGGTCCCAGGCCTTAACCTCAAAATTTGAGGTTCCAAAGGAATTCGAGCATACGGTTCTAGAGTTAATTCCATCCATACGAAATATGTATGCTCACCAAATTGTTGTGATGGCCCGTTCTCAATGTGAGTTGTGATGGCCAACGACACCCCGAGACATGGGATGGCGTCAAGACATATGGGCCATGTCAATGGAGATCAAGATGAAAATATGAAATGCGATGTTGCATTGAGAGACCTTGGCCCCGAGTAGAGGCAAGGTCGAGCCGAATGACTAGACCTAGTTGTAGAGGCAATTCGGTTGTGTCGCAGACAATTGAACATACACACGTAGGCGGCGTGTATGGTCGAACAAGCTTAGATTCTATAATATTTGATTGGTGAAGACAAACCTCGCCTAAGGTCCAATGAAGCCACAAAGTTGGGGGAATATATATGGGGTTTAATTTTCTTCTCAAATCTCATTTTCTAATTTAATTAAACTTAAACTGAATTGAGGAATCAGACTTTATACTGCCTTTGTCTTCGCAAATCTCATTTTCTCGTTTGATGGGTGGTGACTTGCAACTAGGTCGTGTGGTCTAATGGCTTAAATAGTGGGTTAACACAGGTGGGTGGGGGACGGTAGTTTATTGGGGTGAAGGGTGGTTGCTTTGAGTTCGGCAAATGTATTTGCTGATCAATTAAAGTTGGAAGAAAAAAAAGAAAGAGATTGAAGAAAAAGAGTTGAAAGAAAAACCAGACTAAGTGATAAAATAGAGAAAAATCAAAGAGAAAAACACAGTGAAAAAAAGAATGAAATTGAAAAAAAGAAAGAAAGTGAGTTGTTTGGCTAGAGTTGGAGAGGTTAGAAGGGCAATGTTCTCACAAAAAACCATCTTTGTACTTATGTAAAAAGAAGGATGTTTAGTCTCTAACGATAACAATTTGCCTTTGCCTAATATGTTTCAATCTCTTTTACAGGAATTTGATGGCGTATTCCAAGCTGAAGCCCCTAAAGGCCTCCCATGAGAGATATTGAACATAAAATAGACTTCATTCCAAATAAGCCAGCATATAGAGCCAACCCAACTAGGACTATCATTCCTAATAGACCAGCTTATAGAGCCAACCCAACTGAGACTAAAGAAATCTAAAGGTAAGTAGAGGAGCTCATGGAGAAGGGCTATATACGAGAGAGTTTGAGTCCATGTTCTGTACCAATCTTATTGGTGCCGAAAAAAGATGGAACGTGGTGCATGTGCCTGGATTGTAGAGCCATCAACAAAATCACAGTAAAGTATCGACATCCTATTCCTAGGCTAGACAATATGCTTGATGAATTGCATGGTTCATGTTTATTTACAAATATTGACTTGAAATCTGGATATCATCATATTAGAATGCAGGTAGGAGACGAATGGAAAACCACGTTCAAAACTAAGTTTGGATTATATGAATGGCTTGTTATGCCTTTTGGGTTAACTAATGCTCCTAGTACAACTATGCGTTTAATGAATCACGTTTTGAGAGAATATTTAGGAAAGCATGTTGTGTATTTTGATGATATTTTAATTTATTCAAAGACTTTGCATGAGCATGTGGAGCATGTTAATTAGTTTTGACTACACTTAGAAAAGAGAAACTTTATGCTAATTTTAATAACGGTAGTTTTTGCATGAAAAAAGTTAAACTTTTTTGACTTCATAGTTAATTTTAAGTGAAGTTCGTAGTTTTCATGGGTTAGCTAGCTTCTATAAGAGATTTATAAAAGATTTTAGCACCATAGCTGCACCATTGAATGACTTGGTGAGAAAGAATGTTGTTTTTAAATGGGAGAAATATGCAAAAGAATGCATTCAATGAGCTTAAGAATAAATTAACCAATGCACCATTACTTGTCTTGCCTAACTTTGATAAAACTTTTGAAATTGAGTGTGATACAAGTGGTTTTGGTATAGGTGCTATTTTGATGCAAGATGGAAAACCCGTAATGTATTCTAGTGAAAAACTAAATGGGACAGCATTGAACTATCCTACCTATGATAAAGAATTGTTTGCTTTAGTTCACACATTGTAGGTGTAGCAACACTACTTATGGCCTAGAGAATTTGTGATCCACTCTGATCATGAAAGCTTGTATCTTGAGGGTCAAAGCAAACTGAACCGTAGGCATACAAAGTGGGTGGAGTTTATTGAAACACTTCCGTATGTCATCAATATAAGCAAGGTAAGGATAATGTGGTAGCTGATGCATTATCTAGAAGGTACAATCTTTTTACTTCTATTAGTACAAAAATTCTTGGATTTGAGCATATTAAATAATTATATCGAAATGATTCAGACTTGGAATTATTTATACATCTTGTCTTACAAAAACAACTGTGAATGATTATTATGTGTTTCATGAATTCTTATTTAAGAAAATGAGGCTTTATATTCCTAAATGTTCTATTAGAGATTTGCTTGTAAAAGGAGCACATGGTGGTGACTTAATGGGACATTTTGGGATTAATAAAACTTATAATATGTTGCATGAACACATGGGTCTGTTCTCGATGGCATAACCGAGTGAGTTGTGATGGCCAACGACAACCCGAAACGTGGGATGGCGTCAAGACATATGGCCCATGTCGATGGAGATCAAGATGAAAAGATGAGACGCGATGTTGCATTGAGAGACCTTGGCCCCGAGTAGTGGGAAGGTCGAGTTGAATGACTTGGCCTAGTGTAGAGGCAATTCAGTTGTGTCGTAGACGATTGAACATGCACGTATAAGCAGCATGTGTAGTCGAACAAGCTTGGAGAGAGTCACAAACAGAATAGGTGTAAAAACGTATAAACTTAGGCGAATTAAAGCCTTTTTAGCTAAGGAGCCGAGTCGATGGAGTCAGTGACTGCAAACAGTGACACGTGGCTTGATGGGTGGTGACTTGCATCTGGGTCGTGTGGTCTAATGGCTAAAATACTGAGTTAACACAGGTGGGTGGGTGACCGTGGTTTATTGGGCTCAAGGTGTGGTTGCTGTAGTTTATTGGGCACAAGTCACAGTCATTCACCACCTCAATTACAAACATTAAATATTTTTAATCTCCATAATAATTAACTTAGGGTTGGATTGTAACATAACTTTTAAGTTGGTGACCCAACCATAGTGTCAACCCACAAATCAACTCCAATTTTCAATTTTTCAAAAAATCAATCCAACCACCTTTTGGGTTAAGTAGTTTAAGTTGATTAGATTTTCCGATCATTTGAACCTCTCTACCTTTTTATTTTTTACTTTTAGTTGACCAATTGTTGGGGAGGTCGACAAATTAAAAAAAAAAAAAGTAAAAAATAATTGGGTGTGAGAAGGAATGAGATAGAATTAGAATAACGAATGATGGGATTATTTAGGGGTGTACATCATCCGGTCGGGTTGGAAGATTTTTTTGATCCAACCCAAAAGTTCGGGTTGGTTGGATCCGTAACCCAACCCAACCCAAAATTTTTCACAACCCAACCCAACCCAACCCTCTATTTTCGGGTTGAGTCCAAGTTGGGTTGTCAATCTTTTATAATTTTATTTCTCAGCAATTTATAACTATTTGGATACAATCTTAAATAAAATATATTAAAAGTTCACAAACAAACACAAATTCATCTATAATTATTGACAAAAAAAAAAAAAAAGAGAGAAATAAAAACCAGAAAGCGAAAATTGAAACCTATTAACATGGTTAACGTTGTCATAAAACTAAATACAGAGATTTGTTAGAGAATTGTTTAAAGTAATACGTTTAGAATTGGTTAAAGTAACCAAAATATAAGGATAATCATAAAATTAAATAAACAATAAAAAATGATTAATTTAGAGAAAAAAAACAAATTCAATAAATAAACAGCAAAAATTCTAATTCAACTTAGTCATAAAACTAATAGAAAAATAATAAAATAACAAAATAATATTTTGGCAAGCCTATTAATATAAAAAGATTCTTAATATATTTTATATATTTTTATTTAGCTCGAGTCAATCTGAAGGTTTTGCTTACGAACTAAAAACCGCGATTTAGTTCGAATTTAGAAAAATGAACCCAACCCTACTCGAAATGCTAATCCAACTCAACCCAAACTGGAGGTTGTTGGGTTGAATGGACCCCGGGATTATTTATGTGAACCTAAAGATGAAGAGAGAGAAGATGGCATTAGGGGTTGTTTGTAAGTAAGTTGTCCAAATATCAAAATCAATTAAAGTTTTTTGTCTGCCATTCTTCTCATCTTATTTTATATATATATATATATATATATATATATATATATATATATATATTACTTTATCCATAGATATTTTATTCAAAAATTAGAACCCACTCTAAAAAAAAAATTCTTTTTTTTTTAAATATATATAAAGTTGAGATCAAATTTGGCAGAATCAAATATCAAATTTTTAAAATTTGTGGGGTGAGATTTGTTCAAAATAATTCATTTATTTTAATATTTAAATTTTACTTGACATTGTTTAAAATAATTGCTACCTCACCAGATTTCTTGAAAAAGTTTCATTTTTAGTGATTCTTTCATTTTCTTTTTTAAATATGCATGTGTCGTTCAAAGAGCGAGTAACACATGTTCTTAACATTAGAGTTCCAGGATTTCGAAGTCGTCGGATCTTTGAAGGTGCCTGACTCTTAAGAGTTAGGAGAAATCTAGACTTTCTAACTAATTTCTAACATTTGGGCACCATCATTTGAATTCGGCCTTATTTCTTGGTCAAGTCATATCATTTAATGAACTATATTTGGTTACCCTTGTTAGAGGAACACGACTCTCCACAATGATATGATATTGTCCACTTTGGGCATAAGCTCTCATGGTTTTGCTTTGGTCTCCCACGAAAGGCCTCATCCCAATGGAGAGAGTATTCTTTATTTATAACCCATGATCATGGAGACTTTCATCATCAACACCTCTCCTCGAACAAAGCACTCATTCTTTGTTTAACCCATGATCATTCTCTAAATTAGCTGGGATGAGACTTTTCATCATCCAACAACCCTAAGTATTTGACCTACTAAGGTATCTTTACTTCATCATAGGGTCACGATCAAAACACTTGACATTATTTAGAGATGGATATATATATATATATATATATATATATATATTTTGTCTAATAAATGACGTGACAACTTGTGATTTTTTATCAAAACTTTTTATTCAACAAATTTGAACCGACACACTAAAATGAATTAAAAACAATGAAGGCCAGAAATTGGCATTCAAAAGAGGATAGCTAGATTTGAAAGAAGATGCAAGAAAAATGTGACGGTGAGTTGTTTTGAAGAATTGATGATGTTTGAATCCCATTTTGGGAAAAAGTTAAAAAAGAGGACCAAATACGTCTGGAAATTGGAATTGGATACCTTATTTGTTGTAAAGTGATAGGCATCCTTGTTTTATGCATATAATTCATAAATATCAACGGGTGGGGCCTCTTTTCTTCCTTTTTTTGGTGCCTAATCTGTTCCTAATTATTTAAACATGAATTCGGATATGTGAAGAACAATCAAAGATTAAAATATAAGTAAAGTTGTAATTAAGTTGAAGAAAAAGTAGGATGGATTTTGTTTACAACAACCAATTCAATCAATCCAACCAACAGCAACAACCACAAAACGCAAGAAAAAAGAATTTAGAAACGAAGCACAGCACACAAACACATAGCACAAACCAAACTAAACACACAGTTTGATGATGAAGCACATCTCGGAATCACTTGGTGATAGCATAAACAGCATAGATGATCCCGGGGAGATATCCGAACAAAGTTAGCACCAAACAGATCCAAAACTCAACCTGTGGAACACCAAATTAGGGTTTAATTACATGTTCATCGAATCAACAACATCGATTAACCAAAGAATAAGAAGAAAAGATGAGAGCGACACAGACCTGGCATCCAAATTTGAGAAACACTCCGAGAGGCGGCAGGAGAATAGCCAGAAGGATATCGATGCAGTTAGCGGTGCCCGGGTCGGCCATGTTTTGCTTATGAAATTTCTTCGGATTCAACAGAGGGGAATGGAGGAGGCGTTAGAAGCAGTGGTAGTGGGTAGCGATGGTGGGGTTAATCCTCTTTGAGACTTCTTTATATATACACCAACTTACACAAGGCAACCAAATTTTTTATTTTTTATTTTTTAAAATTCTTTTATTGGGAATAATAGTAGTCGTGGAGGTGACGTGGCCTTTCCCCATTGGTCATGTTGTGCCCCCCTTATTTACACGTAATTTGCATTCATTGGTGCTTCCTTCCTTCATTCTCCCTTCCCCATTCTATTATTACATTTTTACTAACCTTTTAATTCATGGGTCTACCCAACTCTATTGGTTAAGTCGGTTAAGTCGGGTCGAAAAAATCTTTTGAACTAACTCAAGGTTTTGAGGTGGTTGGATTTGTGATCCGAACCATTCAAATAAAGTTCATAACTCAACCCAACAAATTTTAAAAATCTATCGGTTATGATTTGGGTTTATTAGTCTGGATTGGTTTAATTATTGAATTATATGAACATGGCTCTCCACAATGGTATGATATTGTCAACTTTGAGCATAAGCTCTCATAGATTTGTGATCGGAACTATTCAAATAAAGTTCATAACTCAATCCAACAAAATTTAAAAATCTATTTATGATTTGGGTTTATTAATGTGAATTGGTTTAATTATTGTGATGTCCCACGTTGGTTGGGGAGGAGAACAAACCACCATTTGTAAGGGTGTGGAAACCTTTCTCTGGTAGACGCGTTTTAAAGCCTTGAGAGGAAGCCCGAAAGAGAAAGCCCAAAGAGGACAATATCTACTAGCGGTGGATTTGGGTCGTTACAAATGATATCAGAGCCAGACACCGAATGATGTGCCAGCCTTCTTGCTATTCCCCGAAGGGGGTAGACACGAGACGATGTGCTAGTAAGGACGCTGGCCCCAAAGGGGGGTGGATTTGGGGGTGGTCCCACATTGATTGGAGAAAGGAAAGAATGTCAGTGAGGATGCTGGGCCCCAAAGGGGGTGGATTGTGATGTCCCACATTGGTTGGGGAGGAGAACAAACCATCATTTATAAGGGTGTGGAAACCTTCCCCTAGTAGATGCGTTTTAAAGCATTGAGGGGAAGCCCGAAAGGGAAAGCCATAGAGAACAGTATTTGCTAGTGGTAGATCTAGGTCGTTACAAATGGTATCAGAGCCAGACACCAAACGATGTGCCAGCCTTCTCACTATTCCCTGAAGGGGGGTAGACACGAGGCAGTATGCTAGTAAGGACGTTGGGCCCTAAAAAGGGTGGATTTGGAGGTGATCCCACATCAATTGGAGGAAGGAAAAAGTGCTAGCGAGAACACTGGGCATTATTTATAAGGGTGTTTCCTGGTCCCACATCAATTGGAGGAAGGAAAAAGTGCTAGCGAGAACACTGGGCATTATTTATAAGGGTGTTTCCTGGTCCCACATCAATTGGAGGAAGGAAAAAGTGCTAGCGAGGACGCTGGGCTCCTAAGGGGATGGATTGTGATGTCCCACATTGGTTGGGGGGAGAACAAAGCTCAAAGATAAGGACGTTGGGCCCTAAAAAGGGTGGATTTGGAGGTGGTCCCACATCAATTGGAGGAAGGAAAAAGTGCTAGCGAGAACACTGGGCATTATTTATAAGGGTGTTTCCTGGTCCCACATCAATTGGAGGAAGGAAAAAGTGCTAGCGAGGACGCTGGGCTCCTAAGGGGATGGATTGTGATGTCCCACATTGGTTGGGGGGAGAACAAAGCTCAAAGACGCTGGGCTCCTAAGGGGATGGATTGTGATGTCCCACATTGGTTGGGGGGAGAACAAAGCTCAAAGATAAGGACGTTGGGCCCTAAAAAGGGTGGATTTGGAGGTGGTCCCACATCAATTGGAGGAAGGAAAAAGTGCTAGCGAGAACACTGGGCATTATTTATAAGGGTGTTTCCTGGTCCCACATCAATTGGAGGAAGGAAAAAGTGCTAGCGAGGACGCTGGGCTCCTAAGGGGATGGATTGTGATGTCCCACATTGGTTGGGGGGAGAACAAAGCTCAAAGACGCTGGGCTCCTAAGGGGATGGATTGTGATGTCCCACATTGGTTGGGGGGAGAACAAAGCTCAAAGAGGACAATTTCTGCTAGCGATAGATGTGTACCGTTACAATTATTGAGTTATATGAACACTCCTAATCCATTTAGAGTGTCGTGGTATAATAAAAAATTGTTGTACATAAGAAAGCGCGTGATTAAAAGAATTAAAATTTGAAACAGCGAGAAAGGATGGTGGGCTAACGAGTGCAAACAAAGTGACGTAAAAGAGAGCAAAAAAAAAAAAAAAAAAATTAAACGAGACACGTGTCGGGGAGATGGTTTTGAAACGAAGAGATCCAACGGTGGAGATGTTGCCGCATCTGGCAACTGCAAATGCGAGGGCGGAGATTAAAGCGCTTTAACTTGGCACGTGGAATGGTCCCTTCCTTCCCTCTCAAGCTCTTGGCACATAAGCACGTGAAGCTAACCGGCCAGTCACGTGGAGGTTAAATGCGTTTCCACGTGTATTTTATTTTTTCTTGACGCAAAAAGGTTATGAAAATTCCAGGTATATTATTGTTATTAACAAATAAAATAAAATAAAATAAAAAAGAGTTGTAAATGAGAAAGGACACGTGAAATTGGATTCTGGTTGGGTGCCTAGCTGGTTCATAAACATCTTTTTCGATGCCAACCAAAAGAAGGATTAGTAGGGATTGATTTCCACGAAATACAACCAATTAATTAAACTTTGACTTTACACTTTATATTCATTTTTTCTAATATTAATTTAATTTATTGATTAAGATATCATAAGCCTACATTGGTTATGATAGTCGAACACGACTCTCCACAATGGTATGATATTGTCTACTTTGAGCATAAGCTCTCATGGCTTTGATTTGGGCTTCACCAAAATGTCTCATTCCAATGGAGAGAGTATTATTTGTTTATAAGCCCATGATCATTCCCTAAATTAGTCGATGTGGGACTTTCATCATCCAATAGGTTAATTCAGTGGAAGATCGAGGAATACTTATGCTCAAAGTGAAGCCACGAGAGTTTATGTTCAAAGTGGACAATATCATACCATTGTAGAGATTCGTGATTCTTAACATGGCATCAGAATCATACCCTAAACTTAGTCATATCAATAGAATGCTCAAATATCGAACAAAGAATTGTGAGTCTTGAAGGTATAGTCAAAAGTGACTAAAGTGTCCAATAAAGGATGAAGGTGTACTTTGTTTAAGGGCTCCAGAGAAAATGGTCATTTTAACTTTGTTTTAAAAAAAATTCAAAAATACCCTCCCACTTTTAAAAATATTTAAAAAAATACTAAAAATTTCAAAAGTCTTATTAATATCCATATACTTATTTAAAAATTAAAAAAAAAACACCTTTATTTAAAAAATAAAAAAAATACTTTTACAGGTAATATATGGATGATATCGTTTGTATCTTGTATCATCAACACCTTTATTCTTTTAGAATCTATTGATAGTATTTTTTATAATTGAATAGACTATAAAATATATATATTAATGGTAATACTTTTTTTTATCGAAATAAAAGGTGTTATTACTGCACTTAAATTTATAATCATTTTTATTTTTTTAAGTTGAAAAGTATTAATGAATTTTTTTTGAATTTCAAAAATAATTTTGAAACACTCAAAGTTTGTATATTTCCAGGAAAGTATTAAGCGTTTTTATTCAAAATTATTTTTTCGAACATTTTTAAAAAATTTAATATAATTATTAATTTATTTTTCCATTTAACTTTATATACTTTAACTAAAAAAAATTTATTCTCATATATTTAGAGATGTCCACGAGCCGGGATAAAGACAAGAGAGGCTTCTGCTTCTCTGTCTCCTATTTTATTTTCTATTTTTGTAAAAAAATTTATTTATTTTTGTAGAAAAATGTAGGAATATATTTAATATATAAGAAATGAAGCAAGAGAGAAGGGAATTTGAGCCGCGTAGGAGTCCTTGTATAACGGCTTGCATGCTTCCCTGTCAAAATTTAGTGCAACTTATTTTAGTTTGAATTAGTTATGGAATATATGATATTCGTAATCTTCCAGAATATATTAGTTAGGAAATATATTTTAGATATCGTAATCAGTTGAATTTGAATAGTAGTATATTTTATTTTATTATCAGGATTTAGTTAGTTTATATTTTCTTGGTAGATATTATTTAGTATCTTGTATCCTATTTAAAGGTCGTGAATATCAATGAAGATAGAACATTCGATCCCAATTCTTTTTTCTTATTCTTAAATCTGTATTCTTTCGTTGAGTAATAATATTTTCATATCTATGCACACTTTTGAGTGGTAGATATTGCGTCATTCCTCTCTTAGTTGCCGAAAAATTGGTCACACGCGTTACGTGCGTTGTCAACAACAAACGCGTATCCCACAACCCACTCAATTACACCAAAATATTTATTATCATCCTCATCAAATAACGTCGAGTTTGTTCTCACATGTAATATAGAATCAATTTCAGCAAAACACGTTAACTGTGAAATTCCTATAATCAAGTTATAAAAAAAATGTGTAGTTGGTTAGTATAGATAATAACTTTCAATTCTTTTAAACATTTTTTAATCAAGAAAAGCTCGGTATATTTTAATAAATTTATAGTATCATCTATATTTAAAATCATGTTATATCCAAATAGAGGGGAAAAAGTGATGAGGTGGACAGCTGAGGTGGCAACCCAGTAGAATAGCGAAACGTGGCGATAAGAGAATGAAACAAAATTCAAACGGACAAATCATCACAATATGACACGTTTCCCACCTTCTCTCTCCTGACAGGCAACCTATTCCCGTTTCAAATCTCACTTTTTTTTTTTTTTGAAGAAAATTTTGGAGGGTTGATTTTGTCGATTTAGAGGTAATTTTTGTAAATTTTATTTACCGTTTATTTTGTCTTATATTGGAATTTTAGAATTTAGAATGTGATAGGATGTGATTGCACATTCAATCTTCAACCTAAAAAATATTGGAATATGTCACGATCCGATTTTCGAAGCTTTGAAGCTCG